TACATACACATTGAATTACTTGTTTGTGAGACGAGTGACGATAGAATTGACTTGGGGTCGAATCGCTAATCTAACCTATTCTTAAACTCAATTTATAATTTAGTAATGAGTGTCCCCCGTGCGTGGCTTATCATCTTGACGCCTACCATTGCGATGGAAGTATCATCAGATGAAACGAGGGCTGAATCAGTTGCTGTATTGTATATGGCGTTTGGTTTCGGGTCATTCATCACTCCTTATTGTACAGGTAACAAGAAGTATGAATTACTGAAAATGGCGGAGTGTGTCCGCGTGTGTGTATTAGTGTGAGTGTGTGTGTGTAAGGCGTGCTTGTGTAAGTTGGATTTGAATTCTTGGTGTGAAACAAATCATGAATAACCCTCGATATCCCAAAAAAATTATTTTTAGTGGAGCCCTCTTGGTGGTGGATTGGGCAGTAAACAGGGAGTCCCCTACCGTTTTTCAGGTGAGAGAATCCCTAAGGCGTTGTTTAACACTTTGCTTCTCAAACTTTTTCAGTGGCTCCACAATAATTATAACTGACTTAACTACTGTTTTCCCCGTGTGAGATGTGTAGCTGTGATTCGTGCGCATATTTTGTAAATTATTTACTTTTATCTTTTACATGTTTATCGATAAATATTTTTTTAATGTGTACGGAGCCTAATACGTGATTATTATCATCATCATCATCATCATCATCATCATCATCATCATCATCATCATCATCATCATCATCATCATCATCATCATCATCATCATCATCATTATTATTATTATTTGAAAGAATAAGCCTAACTTTTCTATTGTATTGTATTTTCAGATGCAATATATGCCATTACTGGCTCGTACGATATGCCGTGGTTTATCTGTACGGGACTCTACGCTTTATCAACTCTATGCATGGTACTTGCTGAAAGAGCAAGAAGAGAGCGAGCGCAGAGTGCTATACAACGCTATGATCCAGTGGATAAGGGTTGCGAGAAGATCTAGTTTTTATAACAATAGAACATTCATTAATTTTAGTCATTCAAGTAAACATTTTTTTAATTTTTTGTACAGAGGCATGGTTGACTAAGTAAATATTTAAATAAATGAAATGTGATTTAAAGTCAGTTAACCCAGGAAGAATTCATATTACTGTAACAACTAGAGGCAATAGTAAAAGTAAAAAAAACCATACGATCTGAGACAACATACTTTTTGTTATCTACATAACATGGAGAGTAATAAGTTCACTAAGTAGACCTCTTAAGTCACTATTTTATATTGTATATATTTTTGTATTGTATTACTGGATGCATCAATACATGTTGAGTGCCACTGTTTCAAACGTGAGATCCAAATAAATGTTAAAAGCTGAGAACAATAGAGTTACAGTCCGATACCCCCCCCCCCCCCAAAAAAAAAAGTAGTAGCCATATTAGTCTGTAGCATAAAATACAAATGAATTGGATGCAGTAGCACCTTCTTTAGACTAACGCAATTTATTGAGACACAAGTTTTCGCTAGCTTGAGCTAGATTCATCAGGTGAATAGATACCAATCTCTTTAGGCCTATAGAATTGTCTCAGACGATGTATAAAATATAACCGAGTGATAATAACAATACAGATGCATAATTATATTTAATTATAGTAAAATAATCCGATGCTGATGCAATATGAGGGATATTAATTGTATACACAATGGTCACCTTTTTTATTAAATAAATATACTGTATTTTACGATATCGTTCTCTGTTTTCATCGTTACAAAAATGTAATAATTTCTTTACTGGACCTAGACAGACTCTAACGTTTCATATAGATCTATTGATAAGGTTTCCTTAAAATCACATTACATATATACAAGTATCTCATTTGAGATTCAGCAAGCCAAAAATCATGCACAGAAAGAACATGTCTTATAGATCTGTTGCAGTATTATACTATAGTCACTTGCTAGGAATCAAATTATATAAGAAATGTATGTGTACACGCATTATGCATGTATTTGCATATAAACACATACATCACGTATGAAACTAAAACAAAATAAATCAGAATTACCTTGTTATGAATAATAATATGCATTGAATATACTCATAATTATAGACACTTTTATGAAAAATCAAAAGCTATCAAGTAAAATAAGCATGTACGCATAAATTTAGTTTGGATACCAAGATAGATAATATTATTATATCTGTTTCTTTGCGAAAAGTAAAGAGAGAAGGTGAATTAATAATGTAACATCTAGGCCTAAATCATTTCAGAGTTTAGGACCGAAGATAGAAATAAATTATTTTGAACTTTTTATTCTTACAAACGGAATCGTTAACTGAAATTTACGTTGAGTACTTAAATTATAATTAAATATAATTAAATTATAACAATAATTAATGTCAACATTTTTGTTAAAAGCTCACCATGGATAAAGGAAGAGTATTTTGAAAAATGAAAGTACCAACTTGGACATTATGAATATCATTAAATTTTAACAATGGTTCTGATGGCGTTTGATAAGATGAAAAAATAATGGTTCTGATGGCACGCTTGAGTTTGAACTGATTACAAGTTTCCATAACCAAGCCTTTTTTTTCAAAACATTTATTTGCATAATTATTGGAAGGTAAAAACTCAGTTACAATTTTGCTACAATTTTATCATTAAATTGTTTTTGATGTGGATGTGCTGCTAAGTTATATCAAAGTTGTTGTTAAATTGTATAAATTTCATGATGATCACGCTTATGCATTTGCTTAGACTACATTTGATACGGTAGTTTCGAGATATACCTGTCTCTTATACACATCTAGATGTGTATAAGAGACAGCGTTGTTCCAAGAACCAGTTGCTTAAAAGATATATCTCCACCAAGGTCCTAATGACCATCATACCCCACCCTAACTGAACTATGATGATGCCAAGCAATAAAAACTTGATATTCCTACCGAAGTCTAACCAATGTTTCGCACAGCACTGCTGTTCCATACTAATGGTGAAGGCGATGACAATAAACAAAAAAGTTAACGTATTTTTGGAACATGATTTATTTAACACGAATATTTCGTCCACTCCTGTACCGCCCATGCATTGTTGAAAGGCCAATTAAGTTTCATCAACCTGTAGTTACATATCTCTAATGTGTATTACTTACGCTAATACACAGGAGTGGACGAAATATCTGCGTTAAATAAATTATGTTAAATTATGTAAAAATACGTCAACCTGACCTTTGTTTTTATTGTCATCACCTTTACCACACACACACACATACACACCCACACACACACACACACACACACACACACACCTGTCTCTTATACACATCTAGATTATATATATATATATATATATATCATCATTTCATTGATTTATTTATTTGACCAACATTTACAAAAACAGTGACAATAAAATACAATATGCGAGAAAAAGAAAAACACTGAAATGCTGGAAGGGGTGGCCTAAGCAAATTACAAAGTAGGCATAGTTAAATTTATTCGCAATAAACATAGGCCTATATGAAAATCAGGAAAAAAAATTGAGTTAAAACAAATTAAGTACAATTATGAAGATTAGCAGGCAGTTCTAATAGTACCATAAATATGCTGTCTGCAGTACCGTAGTGGTAGTAGCGGAAATGATGATTATTATAACAATTATGATGATAATATAAACAATAATATAACGAAAAAACACCTGGTTTAATCCTGAAAATCCTTGACGTAAAATATAGGCCTATCTGCAGCTTTTATTTCCAGTTCTTTTTCGCCCTCAACGGTTGTGCTTGAAGGGTTCAAGAACGTGTTTAATGAATATTGAATAAAAATACTGTTTTATGAATAGTTTCACTACAACCCTATAGTTAAAATTAGGCTTGGTCTACATATCATAGTACCACTGTTGGCGACAATGACGTGTCCTCGCAGAAGTAGTCCTTTTAACGTCCTTTTAAAGAAACATTGGTCGATGGTTGTTCTTGTTGCTACGTTCATCATTTTCCTGTTTTTTTCTGGGCTACTTTTTAGCTACAATTTGCTGTACATTGAGCTAAAGCAATCTTTTAATTCAACTACCACGCAGACGGGTAAGCCAGAAAACTTTTATTGTACAAAGTTCAAATCCTGTGAGACTGCTAAGATTTTATAGGCAATGAATCTATTATACCAGTTCCTAATGGTAGGGGTGCAAATAACATTTATTCAGATACTGAAGACGACAGCAACAGGATAAAAATGATAATATTATAATACATAAACAGATGAAGGCCTATCATAATCAGTAAATGGGATTCAGGATAGAAATACAATACTTGTCTCGCAAGAACCCATAACATAAATGTATACATAATATACCGGTACTTTACATAAAAACAACAATTAACAATACATTAATTTAAATAATAATGCATGTACATCAATTTATATTTCATAAACAGATAAATAATACTTTTTAATATATATATATATATATATATATATTTTTTTAAAAACAAATAATGATACTAATAATGTTATATTGACAGGGAGATCATTCCATATATCAGGGCCTGATACAGTTAAGTTAAGTTCGTGTGAGTCTAGTGAAGGGAACATTTAATCGGAAAATTCTTAAATTGTATTTACGATATAATCTACATTTGCACAGAATTTCAGTCACGGAATTAGGAAAATGGTTTTTGATAAATTTGTACATAAGTACCGCAGCCCGCACACTAGTGATCCGTTAGTTTCAACATATTGAGCCTTTTAAAAATAGTGCGGAATGTGTTCGATTTGATGAAAATGTCAGGATTTTTGCTGAAAGTTTCTGTAATTTAGTCAATTTGTCGATATTAGATGGATAATGAGCTGTCCATAACAATTGTGTTTAGTAGATAGAAATTAAAATATGTTCAGGAAAAAAGTAAAAGTATTTAATTCTATCTATAATAATCAATAGATTTTGAACTTTTCTTTGGAATATAATATTGGTGTCTCGTTCATGTCAAATGTTTATAAATATACACACCTAAAAAGGAGTTTCATATTTTTAGGTTCGATTGTTTTTCCATGTAGGACAATTTGGAATGAATCAGTTTTAAGTCTCCAATGTGGCGTATGAAATATTAAATGATTAGTTTTAAGTGTATTGATAAGTAATTTATTCGAGAAGAACCAGTGGCGTCGAGAGCCAGTAAGGGCCCCGGGGCAACACCTCACATGCCCCCCCCCCTTCACTTGGGACCTCCACTCGACCGCTCCCCAAATTAAGTCTCCTCCTAAATCACAACAAAAGTTTTCATCCTGGCTGGGGCTCGGGTCCTATGGAGATTTTTTTCTTACTCCGAAAATTTTTCATCATGGTCCGGGCCCCCCAGTAGACCCGGGCCCCGGGGCAAAAGGCCGCTTGCCAAGTCGCAACGGGTCGCAGACCCGACT